GCAGACAGTAGTGGGGTTGCCTCTCAATTGTTTAAACCTCTGCATGGAGTTAAAGTAGTTCAGTGTGCCCCAATTCAAAGAATTCCTCGAAGGGAAAACTCCAGGAAGGCTGATAGAGAATGTAAAACTGTCCTAGTAGGAGTGATTTTTGCCACTCACAGGAGCATGCCAGGTGTGTGGCTGTCCCTCACTGTACCTGATTTCATATCTGAAAAATGGGGAGTTGACAGAGCCTATCCAAGAGGGCCATTTTGAGGATGAGGTGGATGGTGTGAGGGGTTAGAATGGTGCCTGATGCATGGCGGTCACCATGTGTTACCGTGGTTTCTGACCCACGAGTGAAAGAATCAGTCCCTGAATCAGCATCTGTGGCACCTGGCCTACCAGCCCACTTAGCCAGATCGTCCATAACTTAACAGCAGGGTTCAGTTTCCTAAACTGAACAGGGTCTGCTGTTCGCTCAACAGCTAACAACAAAGGTGGACACTAAACACATGAGGACAAATGATTAACTAAATAAGGAGAAACCAAATGAATCCGATTTCTCCAACAGAAGGCAGCATCGAGGATTAACTCACATGCATAAACTTAAAGAACCCCCACAAAGACAAGAGAGATGGCTCAGGAGGTAAGAGCACTGTGACTCTCCCAAATAATTCAAGTTCAAGTCCCAGAACTGACTTCAGACTACTCTCATCTGTCTGTAACTCCAGCTCCAGAGCAATCTGGTGCTCTCTCCTGGCCTCTGCAGGTACTGCGCTCACTTAATATTCACTCAGGCAAGGAATATAAAATAATTATTTAAAAAAATCTCCTATGACCAAGACTCCTAGCTCCAGCTGATAAATTGATACATTTCCATCTAGCCTTTTCTACCTCTGCATTCACAATATTTCAGCATTATGTTATAGCCTCACCAAATCTCAGAGTACTGCTGCAGTAGCCATAACAGGACAACAATGGTTTCAGCAATGGTGAAATCTTCAAAACTGTGTCTTCATGATGACACCGTGTTTAGTGTCATTGGATGAAATCACCTATCACGTGTGTACCATACAACATTATGCTGTGAGGACTTTCTCGTATCGCTAAGAATTATTTCAAAATAATTTTCAAAACTGAGATTCTGAATAGCACCATCATGTTTATTATTAGCACAGATGTGCTAATTAATAGAGCTGCTTATTTGCAGTCTGACAGAGTGCAGCGCCCTGAAAGCTCACCCAAATGCTGGCCTTTGCTACTTCATAGCTGTGTGACGTGGGGCTGGGAATTCTCTACACCTTACTCTCCTCGGCAGAACAGGTAGAGGAGCAGAGTTTCCTCCGTGGAGTTGTGAAGGTGAGTGGAGGCTCATGAAGTAGATCCCACACCAGGTAAATGTTAGAGAAATGCCAATGTGGTGGTTATTTAACAGCATTCGACAGTGGGTCTTCAGAGTTATGTCCAAGATTCCAGTCATTTATAACACAGAAATTATATTTGTTACCAGTTTCTGACCTGGTGTCTGGTTCTTACCTAGCATTTCGTGGGATTTTTTTCGCTCAGGTGATGTGAAGTTTTTAGAGTACTAATAGGGACCACTGAATTCCTTCCCAAAGAAGCCCTGTTAAAATGCCTTTACACACACACTAAAATAGAAATCGCCCTAATGGGACATCTCCCACTACCACTGCCTCCTTGTCTCAGGGCATAGCTCTGAGGTGATTGATAAAATGGAACATTCTGGTTTTTCTTTCATTTAGATTCACAGCCCATATTACTTATCTCAGGATAAAAATAATTTGGAAAAAAAACAGTATAAAATTCTCCAGAAATAAACAATACATCCAGAAACCTGAAGAAATTAAAACATAGAATCTGGTTTCTTGAGAAACTTAGGAAAGGGGCTTGTTTAACTCAGGAGTGTCTTAGGTCCTACAGATGATTTCTTAAAGCTAAAAAATATTCTAGAAAATCATCAGGTTTCTACCCACAACCCTCTTCCCAGAAATGAACCCAGAGCCCCCCAGACAGGGGATATTAACATTCTCATTTCACTGACCAGCCTGAACACATGCCAGCAGAATTTAATATGAGTGAGTCATATGAGTAATGGAAAAATACAGAATCCAAATGAGATACCACTTTTAGCCATGGCCAGAAGCCCCCACCACCTCAAGCTGAGAGTCAGAAGGAAGAGTAGACACCCCACAGAGTTGCTCCAGAAGGAGGGGCTGACCAGTAGGAGCTGGGGCTGGAGACACCACCACAGCAGGAGGCACTGCCAGGGAGCTGTACCCATACCTAGCAGGGCGCCCCATCTCCACCCGGCTCCCTCCACTCTTCCACCCGGGCTCCCACCCCAGCGTCCTGACAATTAGACAACAAAAAGTAACATATGGGGCTGGAGAGATGGCTCAGAGGTTAAAAGCATTGCCTGCTCTTCCAAAGGTCCTGAGTTCAGTTCCCAGCAACCACATGGTGGCTCACAACCATCTGTAATGAGATCTGGTGCCCTCTTCTGGCCTGCAGGCACACATGCAGACAGAATATTGTATACATAATAAATAAAAAAAACAAAACAAAAAAAAACAAAAAGTAACATAATTTAAAATGGGCAAAGGAGCAAAGCAGACATAAATAAATTCACCAAAAAAATGTATCCAAATGGCCACCAAGCACATGAAAAGATAATATCATCAGCGAGGGAAATACAAATCAAAACTTCAGTGAGAGAATGTATGATATCCACTAGAATGACCATAACCAAAATGACAATGACATGTTAAGTCTAGTGTGTAGTGCAGCAGAAGTGAGTGGAAGATCTACGTCCCACGCACGCTGACTTCTTCAGACTCCCTGTTTCTCTCTCCCGCTGCTGTGGGTGAGTTAGACTCAAGCTGAACGCTGCAAGATAAAGATCTCAATTGCCTACTGGAACAGCCCACCACAGGCTCCCTCCAAGCCTTCTACAGCCAAGACATGCAGCTCTGACCATTCCCAGAAGCTGTGAACAAGCCTGGCTTCCAGAGACACTCAAGCCAAACTCCCAGCCAGCAAAACCCATTCTGAGAACAATCAGGCTGAAAATGAGCACCTAGGGGCAACAGTCCAGACAGACGGAGAGAACCTGAAAGCCAAAATTCAAAGTACATCTATCAGTCCAGCTCCTCTCTTAACTTTAGCAGTAGGGCCTACCTGTGAGAACAAAGCAGGGCCCAAACCTGGTAGAGCCTTCTAGATTATATTCAAGGACTAAGTTCACGAGACTCCACCCACCGAGAGTTCACAGTGTCTGGGCAGCAATTGCTCTCCACCAACACTAAGGCTCACATCTTCTCATACCTGGTACCCTACTGAAGCCTCTCCTCAAGATCACAGTTCCAGTGGCCATAACAGTGGCCGCTAGCTGGTTCAGCCTTCATTTCTCTTCTCAGCAGTGTTTAACGGATCCCCATCCACCTCTTCTCTGACACATGCTCTTTAACCCCAGCACTCTGCATCCTCAGTTCTTCTCCTGCCTCCCTGCCTGTTCCCCATCAGTGTCTGCTGTTCTCTGGATATGGTCCGTGACCTCTGTTGATGTGCTGAAGCTTAACCCCTCATTGACAACATGTGGGCCCTTGAGTCTCCGGAAACGTGAGCCACATGAACCTTTTGTTTGTAGTTACCAGCCTCCAGTATTTCCAGCGCAGTATCTCAGGATGGACTGATGTTGTTTATATTACTCTCTCTTTTTTTTAAGTTCACTTTTATGTGTACATGTGTTTTGCCACCATGTATGTCTGTGCATCACATGTGTACCTGGTGCCTACAGAGGCACCAGATCCCCTAGAACTGGAGTTACAGGTAGATGTGAGGCACCATATGAGTGCTGGGAATCAATCCCAGAGCCTCTGAAAAGAGCAGACAGTATTCTTCACCAACGAGCCATCTCCCCAGCCCTCTATACTTTAGCCAACTCAAGCTTTGGTCTTCTCTGCATAGCTTATTTCCCTGCTGCTGGCATCACCCTTTATCACCTGCACTGACTGAAGACGGACATGCACGGACTCCGAGTGTTTACAGCACTGGTTACTACAGCCTAAAGGGGGAGCTCAAGAGTGTACACTTGTCAACTGGATGAACAAAATGTCTTTTGGCACAAGGGAGTATCAGTCCTCCATCACCAGGAAACGTACTTATACACAGTCTGAAAGACAGACTGTGAAGACCATGCCATGCATGAACCAGACCTAAGATGTCAGATGTTAATGAAATACCAGAAGAGGAAAACCCACTGAAACAGAATGAAGATGAGCGGTGACCAGGAGCCAGAGTGAGGGAGTCACTGAGACCTGCTTAAGAGTCCTGGATTTGACTTTGCTAATGAAAATACTTCGGGCTGGGTAGTGGCGACACACACCTTTAATCCCAGCACTCTGGAGGTAGAGGCAGGTGGATCTCTGTGAGTTCAAGACCAACCAGGTCTATAGAGCGAGTCCCAGGACAGCCACGGCTACATAGAGAAAGCCTGTCCCGGGGGTGGGGAGGCCTTTGGAATTAGAAGTGAGGCGATGGCTATATTCCAGAGTTGTATCTTAAAAGCTGAAACTCTTGCCTTAAAATGGCTAGTGAAATATTATTTCATGAAAAGAGAAAGCAAACTAAAGGTCTTTATAGTAGATGACTATCTGTTGAGGGGATTCTGGCCTTATGCAAGTCCTAGCAGCAACGATAATGCTACTTATCTCTCTGGGCCTCAGTTTCCCCATCTATAAAATGACCAGACAACTCCTTAACCACAACAGTTTGAATCAGTCGCATGAAGAGTTGCTCTGACCTCACAGAGCCATCTCCCCCCCCCCGCCCCCGTCTAGTCATGTGCACATGGCAGGCTGGGGCCGTGCTGCCATGTGGAAAACACTAATCTCAGATTGACTCTCCCCTCTTTTAATTCACCAGGAGAAAAGACCCCCATATCTCACGGTTCCACTCTCCTTGGACCACTGTATATAAGTCAGGACTTGAGTCAAAAAGACAACACAAGACATGAAGTGTGTTTATTAGGAAATACACACCAAACATGCAAAAGTGGTTCTTCTGCATACTTAGCTTAGGCTGGGACACAAAAGGACATCATGACAGAGCCCATTGGGTTTGCTTACATCACAAAAGAATTTTCAAGGCAGTTCAGTTTCAGGTCACAAAAATCACATCTATGGCACCAACATGGAATTCAAAAATAGACTGGACTTCAAAGCACCCCAAATGCCAACAAACGAGAGGACTATCAAGGATCTCCAATGCCATCCAGGATGCCGTGATGTAAGCTGCGCACACACCTCCCAAGGCCTCAGCACTGGTACTGCTACTTACAGTCCTCTCTGCTCATTTCTCATAACCACGCTGTCCCAGGACAGCAAAGGAACACTATGTAGGAGACAAACAGGACTGAATACAGAAAACATGGGGCCAGATGCGGCCACACCCAGGTTAGTGATGTTTCGGGAGGGCCCTCCCAGGCACTGAGATGAGGTTTAAAAGTACGCTGGTGTAAGCTCTGTCTTCCCTTCTGTGGTTACCACCTGGATTAGGCTTCCTGAGTTCGGCCGCTTATTCCCAGTGATCCAGTCATGGAATGTTCTAGAATAAGAAGAGATAGATTACATTCTTAGATAAAAACTCAGGGTACATGCTAATATTCATACTGGTGGCCTTGGGTATAAAAGGGTTTCTGGGGGAAGCTACAAGAAAGCCACTGGACAGAGTGATACATAAACTGTGACGAGGAATTAAAGTAATCTCTGCTTTTGCTTTTGTCCTTTTCTACATGGTGAAAATGCTTCACAACACAGTAGTATGGTTTTAACTAATAAACAGATTTTAGGTGATTAAACTGTAAGAGAAAGATAAATGTACCATACAGATATCCCTGAGGTCGAGTTTCCCAGACTGCCAAGGACCCCAACATCCCAGGAAGTCATTCAGGGACCATGCTATCTGCATATAACCCACATATTCTCCCATGTACTCCCCAATCACCCCAGACTAATGACAGTAACTCACATCACACACATACTACATAATAAGCAGCTGTTAAAACTGTACTGTCTTTAGGAAATAACAAGGGGCAGTCTCCACCTACTTCGTACAGAAGCATCTCTTCCAGTGTTTTTATGTGAAGTTAGTTGAACTGGCATATGAAAACCCACAGATAAAGAAAGCCAGCTTCTGCTTTATTCCTTCTCAAGTTTAAAAGGATGAAAACTCATTCTTTAACTTCAGCAAACACATGTGGGGTAGCCAAGACGAGAAACAAAAAACGGGCTACTATCGTAAAATATATTGAGACTTAAAACATCTAGCTGTTTGTGGAGATGGGCAACTAAGCCTACCTGGAACAAAGGAAGACCCTAGTTATGAAGTTTAACAACCAGGGAGAAGCCTGGCGGTGGTGGCACCCACCTTTAATCCCAGCACTCAGGAGGCAGAAGCAGGTGGATCTCGTGAGTGCGAGGCCAACCTGGTCTACAAGAGCTAGTTCCAGGACAGGCTCCAAAGCTACAGAGAAACCCTGTCTCGAAAAACAAAAACAAAACAAAACAAAAAACAAAAACAAAAAAAAAACAAGGAGAAAAAAGGTGCAAAATTTTGCGAAGAAACAGCAACCAGCAGGTAATGATGTCCAACAGTGAAGCATTTACATTTGAGTACCCTTGAGTATCATCCACCTGAGGATCCACAGCCAGGAGCTCAGACCTCTGGAAAGCACTCAGCTCTTAGGATGCTCTGTGGTCCCAATGTGCAACCCTGCAGACTAGATTTGACAGTCATCTGCCAGACTTTCAGGTTCCTTCTCCGGCTATTGTACAAGCCAACAAAGTATACAGTGGTCTCAACAAAGTATACAAGGGTCTCAAAACAATTGCTAAAACACCCTGAAATGCTGCCTCTGATCAAGGTCACATCCCTGGGCTACAGTTGAGCTGGGTATCTTTGAGAGAGACAAAGGGGTCTCTGCGTTCATCACACATCTTTCCTGCCTTTGTCCTCTCCAGCAGTGTGGAGTGGATGACAGAGAAGGCATGCTTACCACAGCGGGTAAAGAAGGTAGTGTGCTCACAAGCATTTTAAACAAACTTCACTCTAACTTTGTCAACTGAGCTTCAAGTGGGTGAAGTGACTGCTAGAGCTAAGGATGCCTGACAGCCCCTGTCGGCTGACTCATGGCTGGGTGTGAATTCAGGCCCAGGAGCCTCAGTGCTGGTCCAGAGTCTAGATTCTAGGTTAATACGTCACTCACACATTATGGGTACATTGGCCTTTAAAGAGAAACGTAAAAGCAATCACAAACCAAATCATGGTGTCTTCTGCAACCTCCTTTCTCAGTCAAGTATTAAAGCATGACTCCCAGCTCACCATGTGATTAGCAGGCCCACAGGCCCGCAGCCACACTGCCTATGTAAGAACCTAGGTTTGCTACTCTTTGGGCAGATTACTCAGCCCCAACTCTTAAATAATGAAAATAATTTTCTATGAGCATTAAGGATTGTGAGCTAGGGAAATGACTCAATTCAGTAAAATGCTTGTCACAAAAGCATGAGGATCTAATTTAGGTCTCCAGAACTCGCATTGAAAAATATCCTATAATATATATAATATGCACATCCTATAACCCCAGCACTGGGGAGGCAGAGGCAAGAAGCTCTCTGGCGTTCATGTGCCAGTCAGTGGAGTGCAAACTTGAGTTTCTGATTCAGTGAGAGGCAGTCTCATAAAAAGAGGTGAAGTGGATAGAGAGACAGCTGTCTCAGTGGCTAAGGATGCATTCTGTTTTTGTAGAGGACCTGAGTTCAGTCCCCAGCATGCCATCAGGCAGTTCCCAACCCTTTATAACTTCAGCTCCGGGGACCTCAAGCCTCTGGCCTCTTCCAACACCTGCACTCATGGGCACACACTCGCCATCAGACACAAATATCTAAAAATAAAACACATCTTTAAAAAGAAATGTGGAAAATGACTGATGGAGACACCTGATGTCAATCCCCTCTGACTGCTAATGTGCACACACACACAAGTAAGTATTTAGAATAGTGCTTAGCACATAACTAGAACTATGTAGGTACTTATTTCAAACATAAATACAAGTTTTCTCCACTCAATTTAAATGAGTTCTAACATCAGGCCAGAAACAAACACCCACTGTAGCTGTCAGAGCAGCTATAGCATTGGCACTCTGGGGAAGGCCATCTCCTGTAGGGACTATGACCCAGCCATCCCGTGCCAAAGCAGCACCCGGCCACAGTAGGCATCCAGTGAGCCCAGTACTAAATAGAAGGCTTTGGGAACTAAGTAAAGCATCACCAATCAGTAAAACCCACTCTCTCTCCAGTGAGCTTCAAAGCTGTCTCTAGCTGCCTAGGGATTCACTTCCTGGTCAGTGACCGCAGACTAGGACCTTATAAATGAAGACCAAACACCTGGGGCTCAGCACTGGTTGAGACATAGAACTGAGACTTCCTCCCTGTCTTCCTGCCACAGAGTTACTCCTGAATACATTGCTGATTTATAACCCGGAGATGGGGATGACTAAATGCTTGCTATGGGTCAGACACACTGCCAAGCGCTTAACACACACTACCACGGTTCGTTCTCTGCACCATGATCATGGACCTCATTACACACAGGCAAGCTCTGTGTCCTAGGGCAGTTTACAAACATGCTTACTTTGGTCAGACAGGGAGAGGAAAAGACGTCCGGACTCATGTCATGGCTATTCATCCCTCCGCACAATTGCTCTTCTCCAAATTCAAGCGCCTCAGGACCTCAGAGCCCCAGAACCTCACCCAGGATCACCAAGAATCCCCAAAGGGCAGGGGCCAGAGCCTGGAGGCTGCTTAGTTGCTGCCTCTCCTGTGATACTCACTCAACCAGGAACTCTAAGGGTGTCCAGGAGCTGAAGTCCGCCTCGGGCATTGATTTCCTGTTCATCGGAGTATCCAGGGTAACCCTGCAATGTAGAGATAAGTGTGTCATTTGTGCATCGCCTCTGTAATAACAGCAGTCTGGTTCTCGACCATGAAAAGACAAGCACAGCATCACCACTGGGAGCCTCTGGTGCTGCGCATGACATTTACATGGAGAGATCAGACAGGATAATCAGAGACCAGCAAGCTGTCCACATTAACAAAAATCACAGCTGAGGGAAATCCAATAAGGCTCTTTGTGGCTCACACGAGGGCAGGCAAGAATAAAACAGGGAGAGTCACATTTTACTTTTACGTCAAACCCAGCCTTTATCGAAGGCAAGGGCTTTATTGAGTCCTCGTGAACACTCTGAAATGCGGCAGACTCATTTCTAAGCATTTATGTGAAATAATAGTCCTCAAAATATCAAAATTGCAAAGCATTATTTTTAAGTATATGGCTGCCTTCCAGGAAACTTAGGATTTTCAGTGAGAGAATATGAACTGGCACAAAACACTTGGGCCTGAGACATCCGTCACAACAGCCGGGAGGCAGCTCAGTCATAAAACCTCACCAGTGAGGGACTGGAAAGCCAACTAGTCCCCGAGCTGTCCCGGGGTCCTTCGCAGACCGGAAACAAGAGGCACTGAGAAAGAACATGCCAAGTCCAAGGCAGCGACCTCTGCCTCTGCCTGAAACAGCTGACTAGGGATTCACTTCCTGGTTGCTAGAAATGCTCCCATAGACTCCCCTGATCTCCTACTTATTCTCCCCCACACTACTGCCATGCCTGGCTACATACACACACACACACACACACACACACACACACGCACGCACACACGACTTCATAACAATGTGAAAACAGAAAGAACTGTATAAAGCAAAATAAAGTGTGTAGACACTTTAAAAGTAGGAGTAGGGAAAAAACACAAAAGAGGCAAAAAGACAGATGTATTCCTCAGGACAGATCACCAAAACCCTGAGATACGGCCACAGGCTGAATGCACCTCTCAGCCCAGATTCCTAGGTTGAAGCCTAGCCTGCGGTATAACAGGAGTAGGGCCTTTAGGAGATAACTGGTTGGGGTGTGGCTCCATAGACGGATTGGGACACTTACAGAAGGGGCTGAGGAAGCCCATCTGCCTTTCTACCATATGATAGCAGAAAAGGCACCACCTACAGCAGCAGTTCTCAACCTGTGGGTCACAATCCCTTTTGGGGGAGTCAAACAACCCTTTCACGGGGGTCATCTAAAACTGATCAAAAAACACAGATATTGGCATTATGATTCATAACAGTAACAAAATTATAGCTATGACAAAAAAAATTATGGCTGGCGGGGGGTCAGCACAGCATGAGGAACTGCATTAAAGGGTCGAAGCATTGGGAAGGTTGAGAACCTCTGCTCTACGGAAACAAAATCTCACCAGGCACCAACCCTGCTGGCATCCTCAACAATTCCGTGGCTTATAAAATACCTAGTTTAGGATTCGGTGCACAGTAGCAAGTATACAGTAAGACACACACTCAAAACCACAATAGAAAGGGACCCTCAAAATGTCAACACTCAGCGGCAGACAAGGTGTAAGCAGTGGAAACTCCTAAGCACCTACGGGAGCACAGCAATGGCAGCAGCCCCGGGTGGCATGCCACTGTTCTTCCCGGCAAGGCTCTGGCAGAGCTGATGGACGGCGCCCTTGGCCATGCCGTAGCCGATCATCCCTGGGAAAGTGAAGAAAACAATTGGTTACACAGATGTTAGGTGCAATCTCCTCAGCTCTCTGTTCCTTTAAGACTTCACCCACATACCTGGTTATCCTTCTGCAAGCAGGGCACCCTCACTTGCCCTACCAAAATAGCAGCAACCAGAAAAAGGTGATGGGACAGGTGGGCAGGGTGTGGCATCTGGCCAGTTCCCAAGAGTGCAGGTTTTTAAAGGGCACTGTTGCCAGGAGCCATTCCACTTCCTGAGGCGGCATGGAGGTTTACAAAAGGTCCTAGACTGGGCACTTCAAAAGTGGAGCTGTCATGCCTGTTTTTCTGATGATTGCAATGGTCACAGATTCTCTAGCCTGATTGTTCATGTGTATACCTCAACCCATCAAGGCTGCACTGAGGACCAGAAAGCAAGCAGAAAAAGCCAGGGAGGCCACAGAGGTCAGGCAGTGTGAGGGACTCCTGAGCTAACGACGGCACAGCTTTGCACAGGACCAGGCTGACAAAGCCACTTGCCCAGGAGCATAAAGGAAGGTGTTTTCCCACCCCACCCCCACTCGTGGCATCTTCACTAGTGCACAGTTATCCCCACCGTGGAGTAGGAGTCTACTGTCCATTGGAGGCAGCCTCTTCCTTACCCAACATGCACAGCAGCAGACTGTGCGTTCTGACACGGCCGCCTGTGACAGCCTGACCTTGACATTATTTCTCTGCACTCTTCACGCCCATCCTATGAAGGCTGTCATTGCTTCCACGCACCAAACCCCCATTTAGCCCTCGTATGTCATGGAGCCTCCTCTGACCATGAATCCCCAGATTCAGTGCTAAGCATTTGAAAATAACAGGCAGCTCCCTGACTCCAAGGGTAAAACCCAGGATCCAAGTTGAGGGTCAGGGCTAAGGACACACAGTGAGTCCTCAGCACTGTGATTCAAGGAGAATCAGCAGCCCTCCAGCCACCGGCTGTTACTACACATGAGTGTAGGTAGCCCTGGAGCTCCAAGGCCTCAGTCCCCCTGGACCTGGGGTTCCAGGTGGTTGTTAGCTGCCTGATTTGAGTGCTGGGAACCCAACTCAGGTCCTCTGCAAGAGCATCACGTGCTCTTAACAGCTGAACCATCTCTCCAGCCTCTGTTTGTTTTCTGAGACAGGTTCTCATTATATAGCCCTGGACGGACAAGAACCAGCTATGTAGACTAGGCTGGGCCTCAGACTTGCAGCAATCCTACCTCCGCCTGTGGGTTACTGGCATGAGCTACCACACTCAGCCTCAGAAACTGGTATCCAATACATTTTTAAATTATATTTATTTATTTATTTCTTTTGTATGTATGTATATGTATGTATGTGTGACTAGGCACATGTACACATACCATAGCACATGTATGGAAATCAGAGGACAGCTTGTGGAAGTTGTTTCACTCCTCCCACCGCGAGGTCATCAGGCCTGGTGGTGAGTGCCTTTACCCACAAAGCCCATCTCCCTAGCCCTCAGCACATCTTTTATTCACACGAATATGACGGTCATGGTGGCACACACTTGCCATCCTAGCAACTGGAGTATGAATTCAAGTTCACTCCAGCTATACAGGATGAACCCCTCTTCAAAAAAAAATGCTTCTAATATAAAAACATATGAATTCAAACAGAATGTGGTATGGGTGCATACAAGAACACATATAGAATGCTTCCAAAAGGCTGTCCAATGTCTGTGGCCGACTGTACCTGCGGATTGCCATAGGGATCAGGCACTTGGGCAGTCTCCCTATTAAATGTATGTCTTAAAGTGCCATGTGAGTGTTTCCTACGGGCACTGTTAGAACAAGCAAATATAAAAATACATGGATACAAATAATACACAGTCATTCCATTTTCTCCCTTAAATTCTGTTCAACAGCTCTGAACCCTTGGTCACATCAGCTCCTCCACAGAATGTTTCCCGGGACAGAATCTTCTTGACTTCTCTCATCTTCTGCCCTTGAGTTGTCCACGACATTTGCTTAGACAGTAATTTACCAAGATGCAATGATACACAGTGTACACTGTGAATATGTGTTGCTCTCATTGGTGGATAAATAAAGCTGCTTTGGCCCACGGCAAGGCAGAATACAGCTAGGCAGGAAATTCAAACAGAGATATCGGAGGAGTGAGAGAGCGTGACAGGTAAGCCACGGGACACATGGCAGCATTATCATTAGAAATGGGTCAATTTACATGTAGGGCTAGCCAGTAAGAAGCCTGAGCCATAGGCTGAACAATTATAATTAATATTAAGCTTCCAAAATGATTATTTCCTAAGTGGCTGCAGGGACCAGAGGGTGAGTGAGAAACCAATCCAACAGGACTGGGTGAGACAGAGAAGACTGGCAGTGACAGTGTAATGTGCATAGACGCTGCACACATTCAGGGCATCCCATCTGAGCACATCTTGGCATGAGCACATAGGCTGGCTGCCTTTAGCTCCCTCTCCCCTGAGAATGAAGCCTGATGCTGTTGTCATGGAAGGTCTGCAAGTGCAATAGCAGAAGAGGCGGCCTAAGTCCAGGGAGGTGGGATTCACAGCCCAGCCCAGCAACCAATCCGTGACCAGCTTCAGCAACAACTGATTGCCAAAGAGGGTCAAAGTCTCAAGCAGTTACTTAGAGGAGTATTTCGCCACCCTCAGCATAAGCCAATGGTGGTTTAAAAATACAACTCAGCAAAGTACAAGGTGCTGTCTACCTTTTCATCCCAACACTGTGAGGGCCGAAAAGCTTTAGGACGAAAGAAATGGGCGACGAGCAACGGCTTACTTCAACAGAATAACATGGATATGAGAACATTCACAAAATATTAGAAGAGAGCATACAACTATGCTGGACACTTTCTTCCAAATTATAATGTGATCATACAGTCCCTCAAGGGAGGCTTCCAACCACAGCCCAGAATGGCTGCAGAGCAGGACCATTAAGATGAACCATCACATGGAACCACCTGTACTTGTAAAACCAAAGAAAACGGGAGCCTGCTTTGTCCTTTAAAAAATTAGTCTTTCAGTCCTGGTGTTTTGTTTTTGAAATGTCAACCTATTACTCATTTCTCTACTTACCTTCTAGTACCTCTGCCCTATGTCACCTTTAATAAAAAGCAGCTTTCAACCAGACAGACATCTAACATTTACACAGTTTTAATTATTGCAACAGCCACAGACTATTTCTATGCTCTGTGAAATGCGAGGAACAGCAAGAAATTACTAATTAACAAGAGCCTCACGGTTCAGTGAGTTTCATTAAAACTGAGAAGGTACCCCAAGATCTCTACCACTTCCATTCGAAGAAGTGTACCTCTTAAACCCAGGTATTACAGTTGAGACTTAGTGATCACCCCTCTGTGCCCCTTACTTAAGTCCCTTTATCCTTGGTCCTAAATAAATGTATGACTTGATATGCACTCTGTTCCCCAAATTTGTAGGTTGTCCTAATCCCTCTATAATTCAGAAAGTTACTATTTAGATATTTAAAGTGGCAATTAAGTTAAAATGAGATCGTTAGGGTGCAACCCTAATCTAGACAGGCCAAGGTGCTTCTAAGAGGTAGATGACCATCCCTCTGTGTGTCATGGTCCTAAGTTCTACCCCTTAGAAGCATCTTGGCCCATCTAGATTAAGGTTGCACCCTAACAATCTCATTTTAACTTAATTACCACTTTAAAGATCTTGTAAGAAAGCAGCCATCCATAAGTCAGTGAGTAAGGCCTCAAAACCAACCCTTCCAACATCCTGGTCTTAGACTAAGGAAACATGTGTCTGTTCATTGAGCAAGCCAAGGCATGGGAGCCCCAGCAAAAGAATACAGGGAATAAGAAATGCAAAAGAAGGGTTTTCGTAGTAGAATGGAAGCAACTCACAATTGAGAAATGACCAGGGGTTTGGTTCAAAATATATTACATATTCACTAAATAAATCTGGACAATTTATTCAACTCTCTAAATTTTGCTTTTCTAACCAACAAATTGGAAAGGTAACAATGATGCCTACACCATGAGTCCACAAAAAAAAAATGTGAAGTGGAAAGAATATATAATAATACTTGATACTGATGTGACTATAGTAAGACCTACCATGTGGCAGGCACTATCTATGTGTCAATAACTCTACAGTTTCTCTTAAGTTAGGTAATACTGTCACTGTTTTACAATTAAAGAAACTGTGGCAAACATTTGACCAGAGAATTGGGGTCAAGAATCCACCTGCCAAAACACTTCTCTGGGACCCACGGTTACAAGGTAATGATAAGATGGGAGTGGTAACTAATACGCATCTAGTTTGCTGTTTATCACTCTGTTGGTCACAGATCATAAACCATGAACTGGGGACAAATGCAAATGAGAAGATTAAGATTGCTCCCTACAAGATGACTCTGACATAAAAGGAATTAAATCTACCCAATGAGAAAGCTCCGGAGGGCACAAAGCAAACTGCACCTCCTCAATCCAAGATGTACCCAGTAGCCACCGCAAGAGAAGCGTTTATACTGCACACAAATGAAGGCTTACCAGGAGTCCCATCCAAGGCAGCTTTGGCCCCAGCCAGGGTCAAGAGGCCTCCTTCCTTCAGGTGCTTTGTGGCCAAGTGGCTGGAGATGGTGGACGTCCACATACTTTGCTTCCACATCAAGTCACAGTTTTTAAAGAGTGCTGGGGAAGGAGCAAAAATGTGAACTCATCACTTCCAGAGAAAAACCCAGAAGACAAGCTCAACTCACACTGCCCTGCACCACAAGAAGCCCTCCAGGCCCTGCTCGTCTGCCATGGGGATCTAATAAAGACAGCACAGGGCTCAGTGGTCAGAGGCACAGGTTTAAACACAGGGTATGCGGTCCCCTGGGTCTCAGCTTCCTCACCTGCTAACTGCCAAAAATTTCAGTCAGTAAATTTTAGCACATAAACCTAGGGTCAACAGACTCACCAGACTGTCAGGGCTTCAAAAATGGCTTTACTTTATGAAGGCTGTTAGATTTATAAGAGGAATTTCTATCCCTATTCTGGCTTCTACCCCTGGTTAAAAAAAAAAAAAATCCATGAAACGATCACCCTATGGCTATAAAGAGGGTTTTAACAGAGTTACATTTTCATGGATAAAGTTAATGCGAGCCTCTTAAAGTCTGTAAAAGAGCTGAAACAGCAACCATTTCACAGCTGTGTTGGCCCTCTAGCCATTCCAAAGACTCAAAAGAACAGGTGGTCACACATGTCATACTGTCGGGCTCCCCCACCACCCTAGCTCTCACATTCTCTTCACCTCCCACCCTTCCTCCATGGGATGCTGCTGAGAGAAAACCCTACTAAACACCAGACTTCGGCTGTGTCTTCCAGCCTGCAGAACTGTGAGCAGTCAATCCCTACCAATTACCCACTTCCATCACCACAAATCAAATAAAGAGACAGAGCTATGGCAAGGATCCCGAGAGACCAACAGGAAATCAGCTGGCCTGGTGCCTCATCTAGACCAGGGCTGTGTCAGCTAGACAAAGAGCAGAGCAGAAGCAATAATTAACTCAGAAAAAGACTCACACTTGGATTTGGCATTGCCCCCAGCCCATCCTCCAGCCACACAGAGAATCGCGTCCACCTTCTGATCACCTAGGAGCTTTCCAACCTCAGCAGTGACCTTAAACAAAAGAGGCAAAGGTGAGCTGAAACAGGCCATGTTTTCTCTTTCTCTTCTTCTTCAGCCAGTTTACAATACCTTCAACCAGTACCTAGCAATTGGCTGGGGAAATTAGATGGAAGTTCTGTGCATTTTGGGTAGTGAAGGCAACAACTTTTCAATATGGATTTCATTAGGTTGAACCTCTACATGAACAATTCTAAAAGGCATAAGTACTTCCTGAAATCCAAATATAAAGAAAGGGGGTAAAGAGATCTAAGAAAATCGCTGGAGCCTTGTGATAAGCAGATGAAGCTCTGGTGTGCTCCTTTACAAATTTTCTTCAGGAACCATGGACTCGTGATCTGAGAAAGTTCTATTCCACTCATCCTACCTTACCCCCAACAAAAAATACCTTTATTTTATTTTATTTTATTTTTGGTTCTTTTTGAGACAGGGTTTCTCTGGGTAGCCCTGGCTGTCCTGGAACTCATTCTGTAGACCAGACTAGCCTCAAACTCACAGAGATCCACCTGCCTCTACCTCCCGAGTGCTGGCATTAAAGGCATGCGCCACCACTACCCAGCACAAAAACATCTTAAACAAAGAAATATTAAGAAACGCAAAAGCAAGAAAGTGACAGCCACTGGCAAAATGCTAGTACATGCTGGGTACATGGCGTTCATTTCAATGGTCTCTATGTTTGAGATGTTAAAGCCCTGGGACTATATCCACACACTCTCATTATCATTCATTAAAAGGGCAGTCTGGCAGACAGGCCATGCTGGCCAGTCACTAAGGCTCTTCTTGGCTAGAATGTCTGGGTAACGCCTCTCAAGTGCTCAGTATCCATCTTTTGCAAACTCATACCAAAACCCACAGCCTCTCCAGGAACAGTTCCTTCGAACTATTCCTTCTTTTCTGAAGACTCAAACCGTTCCTTCAAAGGAACTGCTCGGCCAGTGGAAAGCAAGCTCTTCCTGCTCATCACACTGAGTGCTTTCCTCTTAGGCAGATTCTAGAATCCTATGCTTTCTACCTTCTCTGGTTAGATTATTGTTGACCTTCCTCCTACCACCCTGAACAATCCTAGAAGTCCCTCCCTTCTTTCAGAAGCCAAGTTTCTCTGGCCAGAAAGGGTCATGACCACTTGGGGGGTGGTCAAACAACACTTTCAAAGAGGTCACCGAAGACCATAAGAAAACACAGATATTTACACCATGATTCATAACAGTAGCAAAATTACAATTATGAAGTAGCATCGACATAATTTTATGGCTAAGGAGTCACCATATCATGAAGAACTGTATTAAAGGGTCCCAGCATTAGGAAAGGTGAAAACCACTGACGAGACCCTGAATGCCAAAGGTTACATCAATTCCCCACATCTGGATGGGCACAGGATCCATGCCACCCTGCCTGCTTTTCAAGAAAGCACAGAACAAGCAGCAACTATGGAACATCTGACTTTAACACCTTTGCTTCATTCTTATTAAAAAAAAAAAGTAAGGAAATTTCAAATTCCAGCCTATTAAATTTTGCTTTCTGCCCATGAGTCTTCCGGAGATTCAATTCTCTTCTCACTTCTGCATCTCTTCTCCCTGGTTGAATTTCTTGACCAGGGGACCAATTTCACACGTATTATGGTTAACTTTCCTGTTCTGCTACCTCAAAATTAAAATCTAAGTGTCATGTCGTTGACTCTGAAACTCACAACCGGATAGACAGAAGGAAGTAGAGGTCTTAAAAACTAAGATGATCATAACGCATTTTGCCCTGCTGATATATTCTATATAATCAAGTCTCAGGTGGACAACTTCAACACTGAAAAACTGATACGGTGGCTTGTAAGATGATTCAACAAATATATGGACCTGTTAGTTTGACCCTAAATCGAGTGGTAGAGGGCAAGAACTATCTATCAAAAGTTGCCCTCTGACTTCTACACATCGATTATGACATCCACGCCCACACTGACATTCTCATTCATTTGCCTCCCTTTCTACCCCCTCCTAAATAAATAAACCCACACTGCCACTGAACTTCTACTTAACAAGGACTGAGGGGCACTGAAAGCAGAACCCACATTTGGAAGAACCGGGGCTCTCCAAGCCCTCTCGCTGCTCTTCTCCTGAGGTTTAGCTTTTATTACTTGACCCACATGACTGCTTTGAGACACAACGACAGCACAAGAGCACAACCAGAAAGTCCGCTGCCAGGGCTCAAACCATAGCTACGCCGGTCTCCTAACTGTGGGACCTTAGACAAAGACCAGGGTCTTTCTGCACTTCTTTCCCACACCTGTGATTCCAAACAGCCAAGGAGCATGAACTATCAGTCAGTGTTGAGACCATGGGAGAGAGCACATTGAGGCAGACAGGCTTACAGACTAAGGTCACGGCAGGCAACTCCTTCCCTAACCCTAGCACCAACTAGCTTCTCAGACTGTCACTGGCTAAAACCTAATGAGCGCACTGTGATGTGGCCCACCTGCCTGCCTACCCAGAAGTCCTGAACACCACGCAGAGAAGGAGGTGGGAATTTCCTTGGGAATGAGGGTGGGAGCCTAGGCCTGAGTCTTCCAGGCAGCTCATCTGACTCCTCCACAGGCAAGACTACTTAAGAGCCTCTAAGATACTCAGACTAGGACATCCATTCAACTGGCAATGGGGCCCTTCTAGGGAATAGCACTATGTTGAGGAGAAAGGTGGTATTTACTATTCATTGACATATTTCTAGATTTTTATTGGTTTTCCTGTGTTACAATCTGCACATAATTTCAAAACTGAAAATAATATGTTAGTATTTATGCTGTGAACTAGGTAAACTTTACTTTTCAAAATATATCAAATATACGAAGATATTTAAGCTCACTATTCTTGCTAAATAGTAAAAACAAACAAAAATATAAACTTAAATAAGAAAAAAGCCTGAAGCATACTATAAAGAGAAACTAAGTAAGCATAGCCAATCAACACAATAAAATATCGTACGTCAACAAAGTGTTTAAACAAGACAAAGTACTTAAACTAAAGGGTAAAGTTCTAAAAATCTAACCATCAATATAAACATAAGACATGAAAAAGCAGTTAACACACAGCATGCAAAGCTAAGACAAGAAAGCATGCTAAAATAAGCTAGTCAGAAGTGGATCCTAAAATTTATCTTTGTTGTTGCTGTTAGTTTTGTTTTTTTACTTTTTCTACGTTTTCCTATGGAGGATTTCGGAATTGGCAGACAAAGAGCACAGCCTGAGAACCCCACGGGGCCTCTCCTGTCACAGTGAAGGACCTGTTAGAATTACCTGGTCAGCCTGCTCTGTAAACGAGTCTGTCATTTTAACGATGACACTGGCGCTGGCCTCCTCGTTCTCCACCACGTCGATGCTGGCGACCCACTGGAGCAAGAAAAACAGTTTCAGTTAAGAGTCAGGGAGTTGCTACTCTGTAAAGAGCCACACCCAGAAGTGGGAGCAATTGGGAAAGTGGAGAGGCTTAAACTGAAATGCATGGGACCAAAAATGTTTCCAGTTTGCAATGTGGGATTCGGAAATATCCGCATATACTTATCTTGGGTATAGGACTGGAATCTGAACACAAAATTCACATTCCGTATGCATATTTCATATACATTGTATACTCTGTCTAAAAGAAATTTTACACAGTACGTTTAGTAATCTTGAACATGCAATAGGTTTCATGTTATGAAACTTCCCACTGAGGCATCACATAGCCCTTAAAAAGCTTCCAATTTAAAAACTAAGTGTCATCTTGGATTTTTGGATGCTTAACGTGTAAACAAGAAAGGAAATAACAACTGGTCTCCAAGGCATTCTTCAGGGACCACTAACTGCAGCTGATACACCTTCTACCACACTTCATCCCAGGCCATCCTGTTCCTTCTTCTTCCCCGCTGGACTCCCAAAGCCAAATTCTACACGTACCTAGAAACACCTGAGGTCAGCAGAGCCTCTGTGAAGAGCCCATAGTGAGAACCAAAAGCTTTGCTAGCCTATGATTTCTGCCACAAATACTTAAACCTGCTAGCACAGGAGACAGTCACAAACAATACAGAGTAGAAGGGGCGTGGATGAGCCACCCTTGCAAATGCCAGATGCTAAAATATAAACTACACAAGCCACACGTTATTATCCTTTTCATTTTATAAATCCATTTCAAGTATAAAGCCCTTCACGACTCTTGGGGACATAGAGACAGGTAATTGTCCAGTTGTCCTACAGAAGACCCCCTGCTCTGCAACAGACAGACAGGCAGATCTTCAGTGTAGATGCCCAACTCAATTATTAATGCTGGCTCAGCCATAAAGTGGCAATCTTCTTCATCAAAGAAAGCGGGTGAATGATTAACAGGGTTAGTAAAAACAAAATGAGATGGAGGATACTCACTCCCGGCACTATTGAGTTTTACTTCAGAAACCTCCAGGGTCCTTCAGCTTGAAGACCCCAGAGGCCAGTATCTATCTTTAGCTGCAAGGACAGTATCACTCAACAACACTCATTACCTGTATACCACAAACCATGGGGAATAATACTGAGACAAAATCAGCTCCACCCCAACCCTCCCTAGGGTGCCAAGAAAGAAAGGGAAACAGGTTTTGGAGTAAATCTGCACCCCAGACAATGCCATGGAGGAACACTGCTTAGCAGCTGGCTCCCTGGCTCATGCTCAGCAGCCTTCTAATGAAGCAAAGACCCAGCCTCCCTAGAGACAGTGCCAACCAGAACAGGCTAAGTCCCCCCACATCAGTCATCCCTCAAGACAAGCTCTCACAGAATAGGCCACGGGCAAATCTGATCTGAGCCGTTCATCCACTGGGGTTCCCTCTTCCAGGGTGATCTAGGTTGTCAATGTGACAATAAAAGCTAACCAGCAGAGGGGAGATCAATGAAATTAGAGTCAGAGAAAACTGCTAAGTAGTACAGTTGAGGTAGACAAAGCCCACACTTTCAATGCTGCCTTTGTCTCCACCCTCCATCTTCGCAGATTGTGGAAGACACCCCAGTCTTCCAGTGTTCGAAACAGATAGTGATATTACTCTTGTACCACACTTAAGCCAGAACAAAATCCTGGGTCTTCTCTCAGGCCCCAGGGGATCCCTTGCCCAGTCTGCTGCTTCTGCTAACTAAACTCTTAGGAAGGTGCTCCAAGCCCCAGGGCTGATTCTAGAACAAGTTTCCTGTGCTGAGCCACATTGATCCCTGCTAAAAGGCTGGGGTCAAGTACAGCTCTGTGTCACTTGTCCTCTGGGAGTGGACACCGGACTAGAGAAAGCAGTTGAAATATCCTTAACTAAGCAAAGATGACAGCAGCTGAGGGACTGAGCCTTCGACTGCCAGGTCCAACAGGGCTAAAGCAACACGGGTAATAATTATTAGTTGCCGTACTGATGACAGCTAGCATTTAGAACGCTTTTACCTGTTATCTCATTTAATCATCACGATCGATCCAAGAGTAAACAGGAATATTATCGCCATTTCATTTTACGGGGGAACCTAGGATAGAGGCCATTAGTCCATTCAAGGTCACTGGACTAATAACTTAGGGCAGTCCAATTCCAGAGCCTCTCTGCTGCCTCTCCCCTCCCGAGTCACGCTGGACCTTCCTGGCCTGGAGAAGGCCTAGGGAGCTCTTAACACCACACACTCCTTGCAGGGCAAAGCCCTTACACTTGTGACCCAGAACAGACCGGAGCACAACCTACGGGTGCACAGGGCCGGTAGTTTCCCCCGTCTCCCACCGACCCACTCCAAGTGTCTGGCCGTCCCCCAGCGTTACCCAGTTGCGGGCTCGGAAGGCCTGTACGCAGCGCGAGCCCAAAGCGCCCCTGCCGCCGTACACCAGCACCCGGCGCGCCTCTCCCGAAGCCGCCATCCTGCTCCCGATAGGCTCCCGCGGTACGGAATAACAAGCTGAACGCTCTGCTGTGGCCGCCTCTACCCAACGCGGAACTCAAGCGGGTGGCCCGCCCCTACCTGCGCCCCGCCCCTGAAGCTCCGCCCTGGGGTGGAGACGGAGACTTTGCAGAGCCACGCCTCCCATCTCGACCAATAGGAGTGCGTCAGCCGGGGCGCGTGATCGCGACTTGCCCCGCCCTAAGGCTGAGATACATTAAACCACGCCTCCCCCTGGCGGCGTGGTACGTGCTCTCCTGCGCCCCGCCCCATCTGCCCCGCCTCCATCGCCCGTGAGCCAATAGGACCGTAGCTAGCTCGGCGCTTGCTCTAAACTGTGCCCTGTGGCTCGCCCACGCTTGCGGGCAGCACTTTGCCCAAATACTACCTGGAGTGCGGACAGCGGCAGAGTTCTGCCCTCAGGCAGCGGTCTTTTAGGGGCACCAAGCCCCAGCCAGGACAAGAGTTCAATAGTATAGGTGCTGCAGGGTTCAAGCAGTTGAAAGTAATTGCAGACACGAACAGACTAAAAAATATTTTAACTCCCAGATAAGAGTGTGAAGTTTGCTTGACCCGTTGCCTAATAGTTGTGCGGCCTAAGTAACTCCTTCAATTGTTCTGTGCCTCAGTTTCCTCGCTAATAAAATTTGATTAATAGTCTGTGCCTCGGGAGTTGAAGAAAAGGGTGTAAAAGGGTACATCGAGCAGTGTGTGGCTATCAGTATGGGCCTTATCAGTAGTAGTTATTAAAATTCACTGAGCCTCTTGAAAGTTGGTTACATTTTTCCAAACGGAAGGCAATTGTCTATCTGGGGACACACTTAAAAGTGAAAATCTGCCAAAACAGTGATACAAAATTTGTCATACTCTGTAGTTTAAATGTTTCCATTTCTGGAATTGATACCTTTAAAACAAAGACTATGGTGGGGAGTTGTCACTATATTTAAAATAGTATTAGTATATAGTACAACAGGTTTCATCATTTGTAGGGGAACAAATTTAGCTATGGCAAGTTGTAGGCCTGTCCTTACACCTCTCTGTCTGCATGTAAGCAGTGCTATCCTAGATCTACGTCCCCAGCAAATCCTGGTGTCACCCCCACTTGTAGGTTAATTATTTCTGCTCAAGAGCACAGAGTCTCTTAACAACTGCATCGCTGACATTCAGCATCAGATAACTGGAACTGAGAGTGGCATGTTTATAATATCCAAAGAATCTCTGAACTCTATCCCTAGAAGCCAAAAGCAAGCCCTGCCCTCGGTCATAAAGATCAAATATATATCTCTGGTAGCACAAGCCTAGAATCCCAGATACTGAGGCTGAAGCAAGAGGACCGACCACAAGCTCAAGGCCTGCCTGGACAACAGACTGAATTCAAGGCCAGAGTAGGTAACCTAATGAGACCCTGTTTTAAAATGAAAAGAGTGTTAAGGATATAACTTAATGATGGAGCATTTATCTAACATGCTCAGCGGACTTAAATTCACTCCCTAGAGCCAGGAAAGGGAGACAAGGAGGCAGAAAACACTCTAAATATTGCCCAAGATCCCCTGAGAGGTTAAAAAATAGTCACCTTTAGTTAAGAGCTATTATCTGTCTCTGTTGTAGCCTTCAGAAACGAACACTATATTGAACTTTTCCATGCACTTCCAGCCTACAGGTGCCTTGTAGAGAACAGACGGCTTTGTCTGCAACAGGTAAGACCTGCAGACTTATGTCAGTGGACATCAGGATGTGGCTGGCAGAAGAGTTCACTGTCAGGAGCTTTATTATCCAAAGGAGAAGTGTTAAGAAACCTGATAGTGGCCTCCTCATTCCTCATGCCAGGCAGTTTTAAGCAATCTGCGTGTGCCAGTTCACTTTTCTGCTTACAACAGTCCTATGGCTGGATGTAAATACAAGGTGCAGGAGTCTCAAACACCTGCCTAAGAGAGTGACTCTGAATGTGGTCTTTGATAGCTTGAGTTCCTCTCAACCAGCACTTCAGTCAGCATGGCATGAGCTTGCTAGAACTCTGGCATTAACTCAGAGAGCTTTTCTCTGAAAGCCCTCAACACATTACAAGTTAATATAAATAAACCTGTCATTTTAATACAGAACTGTAACTCCAAGATTTAAGCACACCCTATCTTCTAAATCTATCCTTAATGCTAAAAGAAGAACATCAGCTGATATTGTTTGCCATGTATTAATATGCCAAATAGTCTTCAAGGCCTCGTATATGCACTGTATCATTTGTTGGCAGATAAACATTTTCTGTTTCCAAGCCACTGAGCTAAAGATAAGCCGCTGTATTTCAAAGGCCTATATTAGCCCAGTGTCACCACTGCTTTGCCCATAAGAAAAACAGCGGCCTGATTCATGGGGTTGCTGGAGCATCAGAGATGCAAAAGCACACACTGAAGCCCTTTGTTGTTTAGTAAAGCTCCTCACAAGCTTCAGAAATGCTACGCCTGGCTTTCATTATGGAGAGGTCACTGTAGTGAGTCCCATCATGAGCAGGGATCCTGTCACTTCTATAACATGTCCACATGTCTGCAAGAAAGGGTCTCGGGTTCCTACTAGTCGACAGGGCAGCTTCAGAAGCCCCTCCAGATACAGGAAGCACTTGGAAGTTTACTGTGCTGCCTTTGCCCAATTTTGCTCTCCACGGTATTCACAGAGTGGTTTTTGCCAATCTCATGTGACCTTTGAGTTGATATTCAACACAACAGTAAAAGTCACAATTTTAAAAGTCACAGTAATAAAATGGAGAATAGAAATGATTCGTTTCTGGGATCTAAAGATTAAAAGAAAAGACAGAGAGAAGAAATCCCAGAGGGAGTAGAACAGAGGATTAGAGTGGGAAAGTTGTGAAGAATATGATCAAAGTAACATTGTATGCATGTATGAAGTCATCAACGAGATATCTAAAACATACAGAGAGAGAGAGGGAGAGAGAGAAAGAGAGAGAGAGGATACATAGATGCTAGATAGATAGATAGATACATAGATACATAGATACATAGATAGAAAATGATAGATGATAGATAGGCAGGTGGATAGGTGGACAGGTGATAGATGATTTGTAGATGATAGATAGAAAGATAGATAGATAGATAGATAGATAGATAGATAGATAGATAGATAGA